GGGGAGGGGGGGAGAGGGGAAAGGCGCACCGCGCAGAACCGCAGAAGAGGGTAGGATCAGCCGCAAGCATATGGATGGATGGACCTCCTGTTCTCCCTCAACCCGCTATCCGTCCCTTCCTTTCTCTCTTTCTGCCCTTTTCCTTGGTCGATCTCGATTGTAAAGATCAAGATAACCACGTGGCAAGCTTCCACGCACTTCATACCACCATCATCTGTAGACAGATGCCCTCATCCCGCTCCCCACCTCCTTTCTCCCTCCCCTCCCGCTCCCACCCTCCCTCCCCTCCCCCTCCCACCCTCTATCTCCTCACCTTTCCTCTCCCGCCCCCAACCTCGATCTGCCTCCGCTCCTCTCCCCACCTCTCTTTTCCTACCCTTTCTTTTCCTTCCTCTCTAGTTATCACCCTGGGTAGTCACAATTCGCAGATCATGAGCTCACTCTAATCTGAACAGTGGGGCCACAATTCATTCGTCTTTCATCCACTTCCATTACGTTATTTTGCATGTGAAGGGACGGGACTCGATCCGCAAATCTTGTTCTTTGCCGCCTGGATGCTTGCATGTGGCGACGGGAGTTTTGTTGTCGTCCTCGATTATCGGATCTCCTTCCTCTCCTCCACTCAACTCACTCCCCTCTTCTCGACTCTGTCGACTACTCTCCTTCGCCTTTAGATGAAGGATCACTCTCTCTCACGTCAGACATTATATCATCATTGTGATGATCATATGCTTCTCCCCCACACTTCGGCCCATCGCACGTCTCTGTCCCCTTCTGCCAGCTCCCGTCCTTTCCACCGCCTTCTGATTGGAATATGGCACCAAGTAGCTCCCGCGCTCTTATCTTTTGCCGATGGTTCCCGCCAGATTCCCAAGAGCTGCCTTTGGGCCCAATAGCAGTGCCCACCGCTAGGAGGAGCGGGGGGAAGGGAGGGATGAAGAGCAGGAAAGAGAGGGAAGATGCCGCGACGACTTGTTGATCTCAGCGGCTGACGAATTGCGTCTCACCTGTATACGTATAGCCAACCATGCCTCCGCGGACGGGCAGGGCAGAGCGCGCCAAGCCCATTCGACTTCCAAAGACTCAACACACTGAAAGTGTTTCTGTGCACCCAATGCCCTGAAAAAGCACGTCAGAGCGCGCCGAGCCAGTTCGCCGCACAGGCCTCAACAAAGGGTATAAGCCATGTCGCACGTCCGTGAGGCACACGTCCCATGTCGTCTCGAGATCGAGCCCTCATGAATCGCTCCATGATCGCTTGAGGGGAACTTCCGGTGGGAATCCTAGAGCGAAAAGACACCGAAACATCACTGAAACGTCACCGTCGTCGGCTTGCAAACACTTGCTTCCACCTTTTCGTGGCTGTTCAGTCGTTACGGTCGTTAGCTCTCTCTCTCTCTCTCTCTCTCTCTCTCTCTCTCTCTCTCTCTCTCTCTCTCTCTCTCTCTCTCGCTCGCTCGCTTTTTGCGCGTGCGGCTGTGTGTGGTGGTGATGTGAGTAGAGAGGCTTGCCGCATTCTTTCCGTCTCATCGATTCGATGGCACAAGTGGGATGCGTTGCCTGAAGTCTATTGTGCGCGGGGCGGGAGAGGAAAGGGGGGCTAAGCATGAACACAAAACCCAAACGCCGGGTAGGTTGCTGATCATCGATCCATCAGCGTACAGCGAAACAATGAACACAGAGCGTAGGGAGCCCCGAAAAAAAAACAGAACCGAAAAAGGAAGAAAACGAGATCCCGACCTCCCGGGAGTGCCGCGCCCATGTTAAAAAAAAAAAAAAAAAAAAAGAGAGCGCCACGCCCTTTTTATTTCCTACCAGATTGAGGTTGTACCTACCTCAGACTTCCGTTTCTGGAGACCCGTTCGCTTACTCAGAAGCTCCCACGCAGAATGAGGAGGCGGGCAGCGGCCATGAGACGGGCAGACCACCCCGGCGATTCACTCCTCACTCCCCGATCTCCAGACCAGCGGTCGGTTCGCGTCCTCATCATTTCTTCTCTCCTTCTTTCTCTGTATCCCAAGGGCACCCCTGCCTCGCCCTCCTTTCACCCCTCCTTCCCCACCTCCCCGCTTGTCCTGCACTCGCAGCGCACTGCAAACAGTTAGCAAGAGCAACACGGCAACCCGCAGCCAAATAGGTACCGTTCGATCAACAACAGAAGATCCTCGACGGCAACACCCCCCCTTCATAAAACTAGAGCGACATCGCGATCGTCGCGCGCTAGCGCCTTGATCACATAGCTGGCGATCGCGATCCCGATCCGCCTTGGCGAGCTAATGACGTGGTCAGGACGTTGGTCGGCCATCACATACTCCTTGCCACCTACCTACGTATCTTGTTTGGCAGGCATAGTTGAGCACACGACGGTCGTGTTCCGGAGATTCGCATGCGCGCCCGCTGCGGCCCTCGTCCGCGCCTCGTAGCCGTCCTCCGCGCCACGAGGCCGCGGACTCGACAAACTCCGCGAACTGCGCGCGGGTTAGACGTGGATCATCAACCCTACTGGTAGGTTCCAGAGGAAACCGCGGAAAAGGCGAAGTTGATGCTGGAAAAAGGGGAAAAAGAAAAAAGAAAAAACAATTGTCCTTTGGGACGATAGGGAGAAGATTACCTACAGTAGCATGGCGCCAGCGTAAGTCGGGAAATGGCTTCAATGAAATAATAATTAATGAAATAATTGTGGCCGTCGTCCTAGCCGTGGTCCTACTTTTGGGCCCAACCGCCATAGAAAGGGCGGATTATCGACCCTCGTCCAACCCCGTCACTGCTACCAGTAGCATGGCTCCATCATCCATTGTCTACCGCGGGCGCGGGGAACGCAGCCCTAAGGTAGCCAAATCAATGAGACTAAGGATCTCGTTAGACACTCCTTGTGGACCCGAAATCCATAAGGATTCGCGAAAAAAAATGTTCGCAGCGCGTCAGAGGTGCGTTTTATCGCCCTGAGACATTTTTCGTCGTCGTTCGTTATACCGGTCGTTCATTCGGCCCCATTGGTTGTTCAAAGGCTGGTAAAATGAACGGCACTGGCATTTGGGGGGGGGCAGCAGTTCAAGCAAATCCAGAACCGGTAGCTGTCCGTGGCGTTTTCCTGGGAACCCTGCAGTCCAAAAAAAAATTGTCTAGCGGTGGGCGCGGGGAACGCTGTCGGGCGCATCGGTCCGGCACCGCACGTGGCAG